GGCCCGTGGTGCCCCTGCTAGGCCTGTGGCATCCCTGGCGGGCCTGTGGTGCCCCTGTCGGCTGTCAGGCCTGTGGTGCTCCTGGCAGGCATGTGGTGACCCCAGGCCCTAAGTCATGACCCATATGACCTCCACCCTGGGATTCGCCACTGATTAGTACTGCGATGGCTTCTTGGGAATTATACATGTAGGATAAATGGAATTTATCAAACGACAATAAGGAAGAGACAAACACATAGGTACTTGAGGATCAGCTTAAAGTTAACCACACATACGGGCAGGGGTGTAATTTTCCTAAAATGATTGTGGGTGCCCAACACTGAAAACTTTTTTACCATTTCCTGAAGGGTAAACCCGCCATAGCATGGTAGCTTGACACACAGACGTTTTTTACCACCTTCCAGATGGTAAATTTTACTCTTTCATGAAGAGTAAACTCGCCAGGGAGGGGTAACATGACACACAGACTTTTTTACCATCTTCTGAATGGTAAACTCTTTTGATTTACTCTTGTCTAGAGTGTAACATTTTTTGGGTTACACTCTTTGAAAGGGTAAATCTTAAACGGGACCCTTTTCTAGGGAGTAACGCATCATCTACTCTGTGCTTTACCCTCCTACAGAGAGTATTATCTTCTGGCCTACCCTTTGTCACATGGTAATGTTTACTCTTTCCTTTAGTGTAAACCCCCCCAGAGGATGGTAACAGACTCACAGACGCTTGCTTCAGAAGCTTCACGAAGCTTCTGTTAACCGGAGCTCACCAACTAAAAAAAACATGCTTCAAGAGCAACAATGTATATTTGGCTTCCGTACAAACAATACGAGGGGCACACCAGCCATGAACATTGTGAGACTCTTCACTTATGCATACGAATTTATACGAAGCGTTCAGCAATGCACAAGCGGTAAATAAACACCACGATACAACTTGAATGCACTTTGAATGTGAATACAAGACATTCAGCGCCCTCATATTGGATAAGGCACAGCGCACAATATTTGAAGAGAGCGACGGCGTTCCTGGGTGGTCGCCCGTCTGCGTGAGATAATGAGACTGGATCACTACAGTGCAAGGCTTTTTCGAAGTCACCAACAAAATGCATAAGCTTGTAGCATCACAACAAAATTAATGTACGTACTCACAACCTAGGCCACGTGGCCGTGCACGGGGTCCTGTTAACCAGGTCAAATTAGCACCACTCAACGGCATGCAATGCTCTAGCACATCGGTACTTACAATAAAATGTCCATGCAGAGGCTCTATAGGCGATGAACAACACGCAAGCACAATCACCAACTGCCACGCCGCGCGGCACCGACACTGCTCACATCCGCTCTCGGAGACCAACGGCCGAAAACTGACAGATGCGCGCGGCCTTCAAACCGCAAACGGCCGATCTCGTTTCTGATTGGCTGAGTGATTCCATTTCAAATATCATCTTCACGAGGGTAAACAAGATCCACGCATGAAACGACTATCTGTACACGAGTCACGATACCCAGAAGGAAAGAGTTTTCGTGATGTTCTGGATCGCGAGAGTATTATTGATATTTACATGGTAATAATACTCTTCGCTGGCGAATAAGTTCATATTAACCACGTACCGTTACTATGCACATAATGGTAGCAAAGAGTTACCCTTTCAATATACTCTTATCTTGCTGGTTTGATGAAAATGAACCCTCCAGGAGGTAGTAAAAAAGTTTTGAGTGAACTGTAGGGGCGCCCGGCGCCAGGCCGTTTTGGGGCGCGATAGATATTCTTTATGTGGGAGCCTAAATTAACACCGAACTTGATAACATTGCTAGCCGAATGGCGTTTCAAGTGACGTGTCTAAGCAAATACACGCTTAAAAGTGGAAACTGACCGGAAGGACGTAAAAAAGATGTAGAGAGGCGCCATCCAGTAGGAGGGGCACCAAATGTGGAGGTGCCAGACGGTTACGACTTACGAGGGCGCCGTGAGACGATGAAAAGGGCGCCATTCTCTTAGGAGAGCGCCGAGTGATTGAAAACGCTATGTGGTCCAGGGGCGCTAAGTGGCCAGAAAGGCGCCGCACAGTCAGTAGTGCTACGTTGGTGGGGACGTGGGGGCGCCAGATGGTTACGAGGGCGCCTTGAGATCATGAAAAGGGCGCCATTCTCGTAAAAGGGTGCCGAGTGATTGAAAACGCTATATGTGGTTCAGGGGCGCTGAGAGGCCAGAAGGGCGCCGAACAGTCGAGGGATGCACGGTGAACAGAGACTTAAGGACGCGAGACGGTCAGGAAGGCGCCGTTAGACCATGAGAATGGCGCGGTGCTGTCAAAAGTGCGCCATTCTCCCGGCTCCCAGAAGGGCGCCGAGTGATTAAAAACGCTATATTATCCATGAACGCGAGACGGTCAGGAGGAAGACGGTTAGAGCATGCGAATGGCACCGTGCTCTCGAAAGGACGCTTGCAGCCTTGTAAAAGACTTGTGGGTGCATTTTCATCATTGTGGGGGCATAATTCAGGATTGTGGGTGCATATGCCCCCACAAAGAGATATAAAATTACACCCCTGCATACGGGGGTGAACTGCCATTTTCGTTTAGCAAAAAAAAAAATAAATAAAAAAATCATCGTGTCAGGGCTGTGACGAAAAATAAGTGGCCTAAATCCGATGAGAAAACAGGATTTGGGGGTACCCTAGGTTTGGCTCCTTGAGCCATGGTGCCCCCCCTTGTCTCAAATCGTTCCGCCGCCTATGCCGGCCGCGGCCCAAAATCCCGCAAAGATGCGTCCGCCACGTGCAAACCGCCGAGCGCACCCCCACCAAAATTTAATACAACAAACAGATGCACGCGTCCGACCTGCGCCCAAAATTCCACCCCCGTAGCCCGCACCGTTCCGGAGCAATAGCCCGCCAACTGCCAAGCGTGACGGACGCGTTACATACGTACAGACCAGGGCACTAAAGAGGTACAGACATTTTGATTTTTATATATGTAAATTTGGAAACCCACACCTGCTATCACCAGCTGTATCCTAACTGTATTACCTATTTTTCGAAGCATGGGCGTAGGGACCTTACGAAAAGTGGGGGGCGGGGGGAGGGGGTTGGGTTAGCGAAACTTCAATGTCACTTTGTGGGAGCCCCAATACCCCTATGAAAAATTTGTTGCAGTTTTGCGCTCATCTCACCTTGCTGAACCATTTCCTGCTTTTAGTTTTGTATTTATATAAAAAAATAAAGATTTTTCTTTAACGGATTTAAATTTTAAATTTAAATCCCCTTATTTAAATGAATTTAAATAAGAGTAAAATTTAAGATTTAAATTTTACTTTAAAAACGGCTAAAGAGTGAGGGGCCATGGCCCCCCGGCCCCCTGCTCCTACGCCTATGCTTCGAAGCGTGATTTACTTTTGCTGACACGTCACGTGTCCCAGAGCCCTCTCTATTGGCGTGTGCCACAGTCTCTTATCTCGACCCGTCGTGTGCCGCAGTTTCCCACCTTGTCCCGGTGTGTGCCGCAGTTCCCCACCCTGTCCTGGCGTGTGCCGCCGTCCCCTCCCTGTCCAGCCCGTGACGGACTGTGGTGACCGCCGGCCACCGCTCCAGTGCCCCGTCGGGTGACATGCCACCCCGCCCCGCCATCAGCGTCCATCGTCAGTGGCGCTTCCTTCCGGCGCGCGGTGACGGCCGCTGACGCTCCGATGACGCCTTCCGGTGACGTGCGCCGCCGCCGCCGCGCGTGCACGTGCATTGATTTCCGCCGGTGGAAGGGGCTGCTTCCGGCGGCGCCAGCAGCTGTGACGGTCACGGAGGTCGGCCGAGACGGCATTTAAATGGACTCGGCGTGCATTTAAAGAACTCTGAGCTGCTCTGAGTCCGGTGCGGGGTCGGAAGATGCTGTTAGTGGCCGAGGATCACTAATGGGTCGATACGGGCCGCTGTGTTCGTGTTTGGAGAGCCCGGCGGCGGACCGGTCAGTTTTCAGCTCCGACAATCGGCAGGAATGTCGGCTCGTTCGTTTCCTCTGTATTCAGATGTCAAAGTTGCATTAGCGGAGTTGAAAGACTCGGGCTCGGTTGATGGACTGAGCTCGTCAGTGTCGCTGCGCCAGCGCCGTCCCCGCCACGTCTATCCATTCAGGCCGGTGCCCCGAGGCTTGGCTCGCGATCCGAACCCATTCGCCAGCCCGAGTGTCGCCGGCTTTCTCTATTGCTCCACATTTATTCCGGGCGTTGGACACGGTTATTAGTCTCGCTGGACGAAGCTGCGTTGTGCAATGAGTCTCAGAAGCTGCATTAAATCTCGTCTGCCGTCAGCTCACTTGTCGCTCATTTGCCAGAGCCCTGCAAACGGCTGTGACAGGATGCTGCTTCCCTGCGCTGCCGTCCTGCCCTGCCTCACCGAGCCGTCCTTCAGCAGGCGGTCCGGCCGCGTTCCGACCGGCTCCGTGTCTGCCCGGGCGGCGGTCACGGCGCAGGTCACCTCTCCGGGGGTCCGAGCGGCCGCGCTGTCCCCGGCGGCCACCATTCCGCCACTCGGCTGCGGCCACATCAAAGCCGGCTCCCGGGGCCCGGTAGCGACTCGCCGTCCACGGACCGGCTAATAGCCCGGTACGGCGGTAAATCGGCGTCGGACCGGCCGGCTCGGCGCACCGGCCGCCGCTGCAGCCACCGCCGCCGAGGTGGCCCGCCATAAACTGTGCCCAAACCGACGCAATTATTGGCCTTCGACAGTAGCGGCTGCTTATTGGCGATGGTGGGCCGATAGCTGCGGCGGCGGATCAATTTCTGGGTCTGGTGATAAATCTCGGGGACGGGATAGAGCCGGACCTGTTGGAGTATCGACCGGCGCGGCGTCGATGAGGGCAGTGGTGGTGCGCACTCAGACAATGCAATGATCCGCATGCCCCGCGCTGTACAAACATACATGTAGTTTGAATCCGAGCGGAACAGAACCAGGGACATGGGAGAGCCGGCTCATGAACTTCTGTATAGGGCTGTTAAGTGATGACGTCACGGTTCCAACAGCTGACTGCGCTAATGTTGTAGAGATAGGCCAAACGATTCATAACTAAAATGCAAGAATTTGGGGACGTTTACCGATGTTATGTCATGTTTCAATAATGGAAATGGTATTAAGTTGTCATTTTGGTCGACTTAAATGCATTTATATTCATTGATTTGCACAAAAAACATGATTTTTTTGCACGGCTGCTAAATTAAAAAAACTTGTGCGATTTTGGCGCAGGTAAGACATTGCGCCATTACGTTTATAACACGGGCACCAATGGGCAAATGTACTAGCTGTGAATAGGTAGTGAATTGGAGTGGGTTATTAATTAGATATACCTACTGTGTTTCTCAGACCTCAGGTCAGCTATCACAAGACGCACGCTTGTTTTAAGCTTTGAACATCGAGATGGTGAATTGCTGTGTCCCAGGCTGTACGAACCGGTCAGGGGACAAAAACAAATATGCGTTCTACAGGTTTCCCAGCAACAAACTGATCCGTCAACGCTACATTCGTGCGATAAGGTTAGTAAGAATTTTGAGAATCAGCATATTTTACATGTCAAGCTTTCATAAATCCCATCATAAATCTTTTCCATAAATCGTGCAAGGGAAATATGGCATCTTACCTTTTAATAAAAACATCAAATTATTGTTAACTATTTCTATAAAAGCTATAGAGTATATAATATCAGATAATGATAAATATTTATTTTTGGCATCATTACGGAATGATTCACAAGGTTAACTCAGAGCCTTGATCGTCAATCACTTGTGCATGGTGCGTAGGTACTCCATAAATAGCAGTAACAGTAGTCATAGCACAAATATATTTACCAAGTCTGTTGTATGTTTTGGATATGAACATTGAAACATTTACATTTTGTAACATTCAAATTGAAAATTATTAATAAACTGGCAAGCTTCATTTCAGAAACAATCGCATGAACCTGTTTTTGTGGATATTTTCTACTTGAAGGGCTTGTAACTTGCGTCATCCTAATCATGCATGCCTAATCTAAATCATCATGTAATCCCTTTTTTCTGTTGCAGGAGGGAGAACTTCACCCCTACCGAACACACAAGGATCTGTTCGTGGCACTTCCCTAATGGCAAAAAAGCAGGTCCAATGAGGTTTCCATGGAATGAAGGGAAGCGGATCAACTTGCCTGATTATACCAGACCCCATCACTCTTCTCCTGGAAACAGAAGACAAGATGCAGCTGTGGAAATGGAAGATGCTGTCCTTGGACCACCTGTGCATAGTGAGGCCATGTTGTCTGCCGAGAACGACCTTCTCAAACAGCATATCAAACGACTTGAAACTGCAGCAGCTTATCAGCAGCAGAGGTTCTGCTACAACCAGATTAGCCATAGCGAACAGCTAGTAACTTACTATACTAGTTTGAGCAGAGCAATGTTTGAAACTCTAGTCACATATGTGAGCATGTGTGATTTTACATACCACACCTTCAAGGTCACAACGATGACATTAGAGGACCAAATTCTCCTGGTGTTGATGAAACTGCGACACAACTTTGGGCACACAGATCTAAGCGTGAGATTTAACAAGAGTGTAGCCACCGTTACAAATGTCTTCAGGACATTTGTGTCCATCTTCGCTGAGGCTCTGTTCAAGCCTATTTTTGGGAAGGGTATGCCTAGTAGAGAAAAGAATTCTCAATCTATGCCAGCATCGTTCAGGAAGTTCAGGCACTGCAGGACGACACTTGATTGCACAGAAATTAGGATTCAGCGACCTGATAGCTGTGAGGGCCGCTCAAGCACCTACAGTGCTTACAAAGCTGCCAACACCTTCAAGGTCATGGTTGGGGTGGCACCCAATGGCACTGTGAACTTTGTCAGTGACGTTTACGGCGGCAATGCCTCTGACAAGCACATCGTGGAGACTAGCGGCCTGTTGGAGCAGCTAACCACAGGCGACCTCATCCTGGCTGACAAAGGTTTTCCTATCAAGGACATTGTACCTGATGGCGTCACCGTCAACACACCTGCGTATCTATTTCAGCCTCAGTTCACCAAGCAAGAGGTGATGCACAACAGGGAAGTTGCCGAAGCCCGCGTGCACGTTGAGCGCGCGATTCAGCGGCTGAAGTATTACACCATTTTAGATGGCATACCCCACCAGTATAGGAATATGATAGACAATATAGTTCGTGTCTGTGCCTTCCTCACCACCGCCCAGAGCCCTATCATAAGCCACGAGAAACTTAGCAACATGTCCTCTTAAGCCGGGTAGCAAACTGCGCGTTATTAGTGGTATCACCCTGTTAGATGCAACGTTTGCGTAGTTATCAATTGAAGTAAGTCAATAGCATTGTCTGTGTTTTTCTCACCAACGCCCGGAGTACTATCGCGGGAAACTGTGCATTTTGTCCTAAACTGGTTTGCGAACTGTTTGATATGTCTTCACTGTCTGATGAAACACTTCTTGAGTTATAGCTGTCATGGAAGTATGATAATCTGGAAATTGTTTCAGCTGTGCGCTGTGGTACGCGACATTTACTTGTCAATAAAACTGTCCACAAACATGTATGTTTATTATTTGCATTATTTACACACAGTTTGACGTTTGAAAGTGAAACACGACAACCAGCCTGGCGCGCACCTGTACAGTGACACACATTTACTTACGCACCTGTACATTACACACAGTTTGACGTTTGAAAGTGAAACACGACAACCAGCCTGGCGCGCACCTGTACACATTACATCACAGTGGCAAATCTCATATCGCCCAGCAGGCATGAGCCCTGCGGGTTAAGCGGACCCGATGATGCTCGGCACCATGTGGACCCTATAGAACTGTTTTAGGAGTTCTAGGTTTACAGTCCATGAATCGCTTCTGGCGATGGTAACGATGTGTAAGTCACGAGTCGTCCAGACAACAAAGTCACACTTGGTGAAGCCACTTAACCACATCTGGCCCTGTACCTGGTGGAAGTAATCGTGATCTTCTTTAAGATTCAGGTTTTCGTCCAAGAAAAACTTTCCATCTGCTTGCACGGCTTCCTGGATCGTTCGACACCTGTGTGTCCACGGACACTTCACCTCTAGGAGTGTATCCCCCACTACACCATCTGGAGAGGCCCCAAGCATACCATCTTCAGAGAGAAAAATCCCATTCTCTTCCACCTTTTTTCCAGTGCGATTTTCATACGCTCGCTTTGCAGCTGCTTCGTGGGTTCGTCCCCATTTTACAGCTGCACTGCCGGATGGGTCATAGCCACCAAGGAGCCTTTTGAATAGTGACTTTGGGTATCTTCCTCTGGCAATTGCCTTCAAGACGAGGCCGAAGTTGCTCGATGTCAGCCTTCCCTTTCTAGCAACAAACCACTTGGGGTTTTTGACCTGACCACTGGTCACCCTCTGCACCTCTGCAATCTCTTCCTTTGAAAGAGACAGCATTGCTAAAAGGAAGTGGGACTTGTCAGCTGATGCATGAAACTCAGCACTAGTTAGGATGCTGTCGATGTTTGGTACCTTCTCTTCTGGGGAAGGCTGAGACTCTGGAGCCAACAGCCATGCCAGCCCACATGGCTGCTCCCTCACCTGGTCATACAGCCATGCCAGTTGGTCCTCTTTGACAGAGCTCACCAGCAAAGAACTGTCTTCCTGGGGGAACATCTCCTTTGCTTTCAACATTGTCGCGTTGCTGGATCCTCGGTTCCATTGACACTGCCGATCAGTCTGCGACCAGTTCTTCTGTGCATACAGAAGGATGGCAGCCATGTGGGAGCACCGATGCTGACCATTTGGGCATGTGCAGCTTCCATCCACTGGCTTCTTGTTCTCGACAGTGACCTGAAACACAGAATAACAACAATTTACACCTTTGCAGCAGGTAATCAGCAAGCCTTATTCAGATTTTTATTAAATACCTGCATGATATTTTTCTAACACATTAGTTCAAACCATATTCAATTAATATCAAAGTGGACGTTTCACTCAAGTGAAATGTTTATCATGAAAATAAGTTCACAAAATGAGCACAATTGATTGCAGCTGTTTATATTCATAGAACCTTCCAAATATGCATTATAATCATAGTTGATATTACAAAACATAAATGTTTTGGACAATGACTTGATGTTAGATTTTAGCAAAAAGGGATTGCTTTTTAAAAGTATATGCTGTATATCTGGGGATGCTTTAATAAAAGTAAACAAAAATAACTGAAATTTGAAAGCAAATTTCTTTGAGTGATCTTGAATGAAGTGAGACTGAAGATTAGATACATCGCCTAAACCAAATTGCCATTTCCATTTCAACTTATAAACCCTCCTATCCATTTAATTCCACTAAATGTCCATGGTTGCACAGGATGCCACACAAGTCTGCCGCACACTTGCTACGTAGATCAATTGATCTATCATTTTACTATACACTTAAATTTAAAACCAAGCTAACATCAACTACACTCCGGGCTGGAGGAGGTCAGGTCCTCCACAAACAATACCAAGTGGCCTCGGTACTGGTAGGGCAGACATAGCACGAGCTGCCATGTGAGATATCATAGGTTGAAGGTGGTAGGTTCAAGGTTGTAGGTTGTAGGAAGTAGATTGTAGGTCAGGTTACGTATCTTTGGTTAGGTGTTTTGATTTGGTTAGCAAAATGCATTCTGGGGCATATGGCAGCTCGTGCTACGTCTGCTACCGTGGCATCTCATTTTTCCTATTCAGCTTTTGCTAAGGTAAAATAATGCAAGATGCCTGTCACATGGGGATAATATAAAGAACTATGGAGTACCTATGTAGACTCGAATGAAAATATATAATGAAATGTTTCTTTTATTTGGTCATGTTCACTCAATACTTTTGCCACATTCACCTCATTCTCAATTGCAATTGCAATTTTGTTCCCACATTCATGCCACGATTTCATGAAGGCAGATTTCATAAAGTACTTGAAATGCCTATCACAAGCATGAAGAAATACTCACTTGAACATCATAGGTCCTTTTCTTCATGCTGGCCTCAACAGAAGCCACAATGTATTTGCCATCCTGCAGGGCAATGGATCGGATTTTGCCACCATCCAATGCTCTTTCACCCTTCTCAATCACACTGGACATAGTTTGAAAAAAATCACCTATGGCTGCAACACTAACGAAGGCCATGATAGCTCACACCATGCCCAAACACGTCAAACACAGCCTGCAGCCCAGAAACGTGCAAATGTCCGTAACGTACTATTGTTTTCACGTGGTTTTCACCAAATGTCACATATGCGCCACAAATGCTAACACCATTGTGAATTTAGTAGCCTCACATTTCTTTGGGCTTTTTCAGCCAAATTTCGATGAAACTTGAAGCAAATCAATTTCAGAAATGTTATTCATCCATCTAAGTTTCCAAAGAAATTCCAAATCAGGGTCGGACAATTTTTGAATCGCCACAATACACCTTTCTAGATAATCCCCTATCTCTACAGCATTAGCGCAGTCAGCTGTTGGAACCGTGACGTCACACTTAACAGCCCTATACCGCTGCTTCGTGTCACTGCTTGGCTCAAAGATACCTCTCAAAGAAAGATATTAAATATATCTTTAAAGATAAAGATAAGAGTCTAGACCATTAAAGGGACTATCCCACCTTTAACATGGGGTTTGAGTTGAGATAGCCAAGTTTGCGGCGAGGTTCAGAAACCACTATCTATCTAGGTTGCAACCCCCGCGGCCTCTTGGTGTTGAAGAAATTCGTTCCCTTCATTTGAAAATGGGCCTTGTACAAGGCCCTATCTTCAACATGGAGCGACCGTTAGTGTGACGTCACCTCGTTTAGTCATTCTGATTTAAATGGGTTTGTTCGTTGAAAAATCGCTTAAAACTTGGTCTGAACTTTGTTGTGGTGCCTACAGAGTAAAAAGAATCAGCTTTATGACAGTAATGTGGCCTGGGGAAGGAGGTAATTTTGGGCTGTGACGTCACATATTTGAAAGTTTGTGTTTGGAATATGGGAAGCCTAAGATGTTTAATGAAAAATAAATGCCAGAACCGTGTTCCTGGTCATCCAATCTATAAATTCGGGCACAATTTAACTGGTTTTAACAACATTTTCGAAGGTGGGATAGTCCCTTTAATATGTTCTATGAAAGGTGTAGGTATCATGGACTGCGAGGCACGATACGTCGCGACAACTCTGCATCGCGAGGCATCCCTCAGCAATCAGCATGGCACACATCACTTTTACATGATAATCCCGCATTGAGAGAATGGTATGACACGGCCTCGAGGATGTCACCAACCAGTCAACCGGTTTGCAAGGTCGACGGATTTTGTTCATGTTTGTACTTGAAACATCTCGTCTAACCCCATCTCATGGCAGTTTACTGCATATAGATCCGAGGCGCAGTGTCAAACTTATCCAGGATTACCGTGCTTTGCTGCGAAGCTTAAGGGAGGCGAGAAAACCGGTGGTCGTAACTGGTATTCTTCCCCGTATGTCTGCCTCTAGAGAATGGTACTCACGTGCCTTAGCTGCAAATGTCTCAGTTGAGAAGCTCTGCTCAAACATGGGCTTCAAATTTGTCGACTTGTGGGAGGAGTTTTATGGACAAGGGACCTACTACCTGAGAGATGGTTTACATTTCTCAGACAGGGGAGCCTCAGTTTTGGCTGAGGCGTACACCAATGTACTTTCGGGAAACTAGCCGTGTTGGGGGGTCATGAGTGTCAGTTGGTAAGTAATCGAGGAGATAGTATGACTCAGCATCTCCCTAGGGACTCGAAGTTCTGTGATAGTGCTGGTACTCAATGTAATCTTAAAGCTAGACACAATGTCAAATGTGTTATGCTCAACGCACAGAGCATACGCTCGAAATTTGACGAATTTAAATGTTACCTAGCTGTAAACACGCCAGATATTGTTTGCGTTACAGAAACTTGGGTAAGTGAAAGCTTTAATGGCGACAGACTCACGGATTTTGAAGTGCAGGGGTACAATATGTTTTCTTGCTGTAGGGAAGCCAAACAGGGGGGAGGGATCCTTATTTACGTTAATAGTCTGTATAGTGCTCTTAAAGTGGATGATGCATTGAAGGCAAAGCAGGTAGAGTCAATATGGATTGATGTGAGACTGGGGAAAGATATCAATGACGATGTAAGACTTGGGGTTTTCTATAGGCCCGGTAATATTATGGAAATCCCACAGCTGGAGGTAGATGGCATGATATGTGAGGAAATTCGTCGAAACTTCAAAACAAATTGTCTTATAATGGGAGATTTTAACCTTAAAGAATACGAAGAAAGGACAGGGGACACAAAGGCATGCAAAATGTATAGAAATCTCTTAGAGGAGGAACTCTTCATGAATCAATTTGTTAGCGAGCCAACTAGAAGGGGTTCTATTTTGGATTTGGTATTTTCTGACAACATGGAGATGGTAAAAGAACTTAAGGTTGGTGAAGGGTTGGGCAAGAGTGACCATAATATGGTTAACTTTCTTATTCCGTCAAAGGTCAAACCCAAGGATAACCTAGCCAATGTTCCAAACTTTAATAGGGCGAACTTTAGAATGATGCGAAATGAGCT